TGTCGACGAGCGCGGGGAGGGGGGCTGGGGTTGGGGCTTGTGGACAGAAGAGTGATTCACAGATGTAAAAGAGACAGACAGACACAAAGGTAGATAGAAAGGTAAAATAAAATGAGTACTGTGGTTGTGAACGCATATGACACATAGTAGTTTGAAGTGGGAAGTCAATTGCCTGTTTGCAGACTTTTTGCCATATGAGTATACGTTGTCCAGTGTGCACCACGTGGACCCCTTTTTCTTCAGATATAAAATAGTGAGACGTGACCAATTGTTTAAATCGAACAGAACACGCAGTAAATTCTCAACAAGTTGTTTGGTTCTGAAAATAGTTTAATGAAATGGAATTTTGCGTTTAATCCCCTTGGGTGGAATTTCGGAAAATCCCGGTTTTAATCTGCCTTTAGGTATTCAAACGGGGACTTTTTGTCTTGGCTACATAGTACAGTACAATTAACTAAACTCTGAAACTCAATTCACTTTTTCACTCCTATTGCCTAGGACAAGACTGGTTAGATAAATAATATGTCCACTCTAATTGGATGATTATGTAGATTGTGGGTTCTGTTTCACAATTAGTTAAAAGAGAGTGTAAATGCCATTTTTAATCGAAATTTTATCTATGTTCGCCATAGGTAGCGGTCATTTCGGCCAAGTTAGTCTCATGAGTGTTGTAAAGCGTGGTGAGGTGCATGAGTTCGCAGTGAAGGAGTTGACGAACCTCAACCCTAACGTTCGAACAAGTCGTGTTCAAATGGAGTCCGACTTCGGTATTCGAATGTCCGACTGTCAGTTTGCTGTTATCACCTATGGAGTCGTTGCTATGGGCGACTGTGTTCGAATTTTAATGGAAATAATGGATAGTTCGGTGGAGAATTTGAAAACAATGGTAGGGATATTGTTAATTTTCTATATTAATTTAAATAATTCAATGTCAAGAATAACTGATAAAGTTTTCCAGAAGATCAGTATATTCCATGGAACCTTTGGATGATCAAATTTTTGAAGAAATTAATTTATTAAAAAATAAGCTATTAATTGTGAAGTTTGCTTTTAGATGTCCCAATTAAAAAGTGAAAGGACATGAAGCCAGAAGAAATTTCATTGATGGAAACGAAAGGGGAGAAAAGAATGGTATCAATTTTGGAATAAATCTTAGTGGGAAGTAAAATGAAAAATTTAGAGTAATAAATGGAGCGATTATGTGGGTGCCAGAGAGGGCTCTGATTTGTGACCCATCGTAGTAGCAACTCTCTCTCTCCCGTTCATCTTGGATCCGTGTTGGCGGCATGATTTGGTCAGTAAGAGTGCAGAATAGGAGTGGAGTTAAATGTGGCCGTTTGTTTCATGCTTAGAATCGAGTGTAGGATATTTGTGGGTATTTTGGGTAGGATGTGGTGAGGTTAACAGATAATATTATCCTCCTTGGCAATAACTTAATCGATAAATTCTGAAAAAATTTCGATTTATTGACATGAGACGAACTCCTATTTCGAAACTAAGCACAATCTACACACACACACATACACATACACACACACATACACACACACATACACACACACACACACTCACTCACTCACACACACACAAGATTTAAACTAATATTATTTAGTTAAGAAGTTATTATCATTTTTTCTTTTACGCTGGCTTTAAAATAAAGAAATGAGTTACCAAGGTTATGTAGTTTGTGAATTAACTTATTTCTGATGCCCAGTTACCTTTATAAATTTCTTTAAAACTTTTAGTTACAGCTTAAGGAAAAGTTGTGGCCGGAGTATACCGTTGCTTTTATTACAAAGTGTGTTGTGAAAGGCCTCGAATTCCTCAGGAAACAGGGTATTCAACATCGGGATGTGAAACCGACCAATATGCTAGTCAACAGACTAGGGTGTGTCAAGGTGAGATGCCATTGCTCAGATATTTTATCAAATCTAATAATTATAATCGAAATAGAGTTTTATCGTTATGCAAATCAGACCTATGGAGTTGAAAGAACTTGTTTTGAGTACTTAGCTGCCGATCGAAGAACTGTAATAGCTGAAAAACCCACCCAACGACTTCTTAAACACCAAATACACTAATTTAGAAGCCTATCTTTTTCAAATACAAGAATAGACTTTAGGGCTAAATTGTATTACATTTTAAGAGGGGAAATGAACTACTCTATGTCAAATAATTTATTTGTCTCAAATGTCAGGCTTTTTGGTAGTTTTCATTAGCATTTTGTTGCCGTCGAGCTTCGCAGAGAAGGGGCGATATCAATTTGTAAAAAATTTGAGAGGGAGAACAGAATTGCGATTCACAGATGTAAAAGAGACAGACAGGCACAAAGGTAGAGAAAAAGGTAAGGTAAGGTTAGGTGAGTACTAAGGGAGTGTTGGAATAGGGCATGCAGTGGGGTGATGGTAGTTTGAAGTGAGAAGTAAACTGTCTGTTTATTGACTTTTTTCGTCATATGATTATACATTGCCCAGTGTGCACCACATGGAGGTAAGTCTATTGCGCACCCTATTTGAACCAATCTAACTCGAGGTATCTAGTCTACCTGCATTTTCTCTTCAAAGGTAAAGTGGGCAAAGCGATTGAATGTAAACCTAACGCTTTGAAACAGAGATATCAAAAACGGATACTTAAATATTGTAGATATGCGACTACGGCGTCTCTCAGCGAATGGAGAATGATAAAACAGTTACAAAATATGTGGGGACTTATTCATTTATGGCTCCAGAACGTCTAACTAAACAGAGTGCAAATAGAGGTTTTCGAATACAGTCAGATGTCTGGTCCCTTGGATTGAGTGTCTATTACCTATCAACGGGATCCCTGCCGTTCCCTGAAAATTTAGCATGCCTTGATCTTCAGAGATATTTTGAAGAGTACGAAGAGTTGTTCATTCCGGACGATGGTACTTTTACTTCAGAACAGCGCGAATTTCTCGTTGCTTGCCTTAAATTGAACGAACTAGATCGACCTGATTATAAGACTCTTCTACAAATGGGTTTCTTAACTGAAGTGAAGATCAAGAACCTTCGTGGAGATTTCGCTAAATTTATCCGAGACACCTTGGGTCCTTAGCTATCTTCCATTTGTAATTCATTCTTCTCATCTCTATTCTCAAATAAGTAGCACTAAAATTTATTTTGACACATTTGTCAAAATGACTGAGTAAACACTTTGTAATGTAGGTTTTCTGGATTCAAAATCTGTAACCCTTATTCCACTAATTTTCCTTACTCCTGTACTTTAAACCTTTGTAACACTTTGCTACCCAATATACAAAAGAAAACATGGTAACCTGGGAGAAATTGCATAGTGGTTTTTATAGTATTATATGTTTGGAGTCCAAACTTAACAGTAGAAAATCTGCAAATTTTGAAAGAGAAGAGAGGTCAAAAAACCAAAGAGTGAACTTTGGTAGTTTTTTTTCTTTCCTCTATCATCATTTGCATGTTCGTGAATCATACTTCTATCATGTGATGGTACTTTAGTTATCTGACAATGAGAAGTTAGAATCACAGAGGAAAAATTTGATGTTGCGAAGGAAAGTAATTGCCTGTGAATTACTTAACTCATACAAACAGGAAGTTTGCTTCTGACTTCAAACTACCATGACCCCACTGTATGTCATAATTTCTCACTTCAAACTACCATCACCCCACTGTATGTCATATACCTCTGACTTCAAACTACCATCACCCCACTGTATGTCATATTTCACCACTTCCACAGTACTCACCTCGCCTTTTTTCTACCTTCAGTTGACTCTAGCTACCATGACCCACTGTATGGCATATTAGTCTACTTCCACAGTACTCACCTCACCTTTTTTCTACCTCTGAGTCTGTATACTTCCATAGTACTCACCTCACCTTTTTTCTACATTTGTATCTTCCACAGTACTCACCTCACCTTTTTCCTACCTTTTCTAAGCCACCACAGTACTCACCTCACTTTT